CCACCAATTCTGATCAAATTAGGCTATAATCAACTTCAAATTACTCCATTAAGCTCCCCAATTAATCACCAAATCAGCCACCAATCAACATGCCACTAATCAACCTTAAAATACCTTAATTAACCCTTAATTAACCCTAATCCTATCTAGAAATGCTTAATTAGCCTAATTAGGATTTAGGGACTAATACTCACTTAGGCTCCTAAGCTCCAACTAGCTGATCGGGATAGAAAAACGGGCCGGCTGAGCTGGCTTTACGGCGGCCTAGCGACGGCGAGGAGCGGCGGCATGCGGCGACCGGCGGTCCAAGGCGATCTTCACACGGCTGAAGGGAAGGAGAGCTGGTTGGCGGCTGGGGGAGGAGAGAATGGGACGGTCTGGTGGTGGTGATGGCTCACGCGGACGGCGGCGGCGATCGGCCTTGGCGAGCGGCGGTCCGGCGAGCGGCGCCCAAGGGGAGCTGATTGGCGGTGTTCCTCATGGCCGAGCAAGGAAATGAGAGGGAGGGAGAATGGCGTGGAGGAGGAGGGTGAGTGGCCGGTGGTGAGGTGAGAAATGAAGGAGAGACTAAGATAATTAGTAGTCTTAGGGGGGGTTTGACCAACTTTCCAATTTGCCCATCTTACCCTTCACTCACTTGGTTGAGATAATCTAAAGCCAAAATATCCAAGGGCATATTAGACCCAAATTTTCTGAATTATTGGGGCTGATCTTATCCAATTAAATCCCCAAAATGACCTCCCATAATCTCCCAAAATTCGGAATACAAGGCATAGGCTTAGGGGCAAAATCGTAATTTTCCGATTCTGGGCCGAATTTCCATTTTTCAACCGTACTGATCCCAAATATAGTTGGCCTCACTAAAATGACGTTGTCCTCGCAAAATAGTTGTATACGTCCACGAAATTCGACGTCCAAGTCCGGATCCAACTTCGCGATCAAAATTGCTCAATTACAATTTTAGGGTCTCTTACTAACGGGCGGCTGTTCAGGGGTTACGCGTATCGACCAGGGGTTACTCGGGTCGTGACGGTCTCGATTACCGGGAAAACGCGAGGATTTATCGCTAGTTCCGGAGGTCGCGATCGTTCGGATTAAGTTCGGGATTTGTTCGCCACGCGTACTCTCGATCGTGCGGAATCACCCGCGATCCTATCGCACGTCATTGGCCAAACTAAATCCATCACCTTCCTAGGATCGGCCTACATTGGCCCAAAATATTTCCTCGTCATTTTTCGGAATCGGTGCCCGATTCGCGATCGGGTCCCTGGTCCACGCACCATTTTCCTAATTAGCCATTCCCTTTTGGTTAGTATCCCGAGAATGATCAGTTTCGGGCGAGACTCACTAAAATTAAATGAGAAATAATATCTATTTCATTGATCCCGAGATTGGATCAAAATTCAGGACGTTACAACTCTCCCCTCTTACAAAAATTTCGTCCTCGAAATTTGCAATCTAAACCTATCTATTCAAACAAATGGGGGTATTGACGTCGCATTGCCTCTTCGCTTTCCCAGGTGGCACCTTCTGTCCTGTGGTGCTCCCAAACAACTTTGACCATCGGGATTGTCTTATTCTGCAGCACTCGATCTTTTCTGTCCTCGATCCTCACTGGCCTTTCCACGTACGACACCTTGTCGTCCACGTCTACCTCCTTGTACCTCAGAACGTGGGTCGGGTCTGGTTCATACTTTCTCAACATCAACACGTGGAACACATTGTGCACTTGAGACAGATTAGGTGGCAAGGCAAGTCGGTAGGCCATATCTCCGATCTTCTTTAAAATCTCAAACGGACCGACATACCTCGGGCTCAGTTTTCCTTTCTTACCAAATCTGGATAGTCCCTTCATAGGCGACACCTTGAGAAATACACGATCTCCAACTTGAAACTCCAAGGGTCGTCTTCTCCGATCGGCATAACTTTTCTAGCGACTCTGTGTGGTCCTTAACCTTTCTCGGATAATCTCAACTGCTTCGACCGTCTGCTGTACCAATTCTGGGCCTGTGATACTTCGTTCTCTAACTTCGTCCCAACACACTGGCGTCCTACACGCTCTGCCATACAAGACCTCAAACGGCGCCATCTGAATACTTTGCTGATAACTATTATTATAGGCGAACTCCACCAGGTGTAGCTGCTCTTCCCATTTTCCCTGGAAGTCCAATACACAGGCTCGCAACATATCCTCTAAGGTCTGAATCGTTCTTTCAGACTGGCCATCCGTCTGTGGATGATAGGCCGTACTGAACTGCAACTTCGTTCCTAAGGCCGTCTGTAGACTTTTCCAAAAATTGGCCGTAAATCTCGGATCACGGTCTGATGTGATCGTCACTGGTACTCCATGCAACCGGACAATCTGCCGCACATACAACTCTGCGTACTTTTCCAACTCAAAATCTTTTCGCATTGCCAGGAAGTGCGCTGACTTAGTCAATCTATCCACTATTACCCAAATAGAGTCGTGACCTCTCTGGCTTCTCGGTAATCCCGTGACGAAATCCATAGTGATATGCTCCCATTTCCATTCAGGGATTTCTAACGATCGCAATAATCCTCCAGGCTTACAGTGCTGTGCCTTAACTTGCTGACATGTCAGGCATTTCGCCACATGCTTGGCCACATCCTTTTTCAATCAATTCCACCAATAATGCTGCCGCAGATTCTAGTACATCTTTGTACTGTTTGTTTGGATGCTATAATCGCTGCGATGAGCTTCTCTTAAAATTTCCTCCTTAAGCTCAACGTCATCGGGCATGCACAATCGTCCTCGAAATTTTAAAACTCCGTCCTCGCTCACTTGGAAATTCGATTTTCTTGTAGCGGCGTCCATTCCAACAATCTTTTTGTATTTCTTGGTCCGTAAATTGTAGTGCCTTAATCCTTGACTGGATCTCCAGTTCGATTCTCAATGCATCCATTAGGTTAGACATCCGGCTCACCTCGAACTTAAACTCTGAGTCTTTGAGCCTTTCTAACAGGGTCCACTCCCTGACCATCATATGCGCCATACTCGACTTCCGACTTAGCGCATCCGCTACTCGATTTGCTTTCCCGGGATGATACAGGATGTCGCAGTCGTAATCCTTAAGAAGTTCCATCCATCGGCGCTGCCTCATATTTAATTCTTTCTACGAAAATAGGTACTTGAGGCTTTGGTGATCCGTATAAATCTGGAATTTTTCCCCGCACAAATAGTGCCTCCAAATCTTGAGGGCGAAGATGATCGCTGCCAACTTTAAATCATGCGTCGGATAGTTCATCTCATGCGGTCTTAACTGGCGCGACGCATATGCAACTACCCTTCCGTGCTGTATCAATACACAACCAAGCCCTCTTAATGAAGCATCACTATAGACCTCAAATCCTCCTGGTCCGGACGGAATGGTTAATACAGGGGCGGTTGTCAGTCTATGCTTCAACTCTTGGAAACTCCTTTCACACTTTTCATCCCACTCAAACTTAGTTTCCTTCTTAAGCAGCCGTGTCAATAGCGTGGCTATCGACGAGAACTTTTCTACAAAACGTCAATAATAACCAGCCAAACATAAGAAACTTCGAATCTCCGTCACTGATGTTGGCCTTGGCCACTTAGTTACTGCCTCAATCTTCGTCGGGTCCATAGAAATTCCATCTCCCGAAATTATGTGTCCAAGGAACGCTACTCTGCCAAGCCAAAACTCACACTTACTGAACTTGACATAGAGTGCGTGTTCTCTTAAGGTCCGTAGTACCTCGGTCAGGTGTACCTCATGCTCTTCGGGGCTTCTCGAATATACCAATATGTCGTCAATCAAGACGATGACGAATTGATCCAAGAACTCCTTGAATACTCGATTCATTAAGTCCATAAAGGCAGCAGGGGCATTGGTCAGACCAAAGGGCATCACTGTAAACTCATAGTGCCTGTACCTCGTTCTAAAAGCGGTCTTAGGTATGTCCTCTTTCCTGATCCTTAACTGATGATATCCGGTCCATAGATCAATCTTAAAGAACACTGATGCTCCTTGTAATTGGTCAAACAGGTCATCAATCCTCGGCAGTGGGTACTTATTCTTAACTGTCACCTAGTTCAACTGCTGGTAGTCTATGCACAATCTTAAGGTCCTGTCCTTCTTCCTTACAAACAGGACCGGCGCTCCCCATGGTGATACACTAGGGTGAATAAAACCCTTGTCCAATAATTCCTGCATTTGGACTTTTAATTCTTTCAATTCTAATAAGGACATTCGATACGACGCCTTTGAGATCGGTTCAGTTTCTGGGGCCAATTCTATGACAAATTCCACTTCTCGCTCCGGTGGCAAACGCGACAATTCCTGGAAAAAGATCTCGGGAAAATCGCACACTACGGGTATCTCTTCCAATTTAGGTTCCGCCACTGTCGGATCGACCACATTCACCAAATATCCTTCACAACCTTCGTCCAACAACTTAGTCACCTCGAGCGAGGAAATCCAAGGGATCGAGGTTCCTCCTCGGTTTCCCTGAAATTCAAATCTAGGCTGCCCAATCGGGTTAAACTGGATTACCTTATTGCCACAATCCATTACGGCTTTCTGCCTTACTAGCCAATCCATTCCAATTATCACATCAAAATCAAACATGGCCAACACTGCCAAGTCAATCTTTTCTTCTCTACCCCCGATAACTATTTTACAGTTAGGACACCCTAACGACACTAACACCGTATCATTCAATGGGGTCATCACACATAGCATAGTCTCAAGCATAACAGGCTCAATCCCAACCAGTCTAACAAACTGCTCTGATATAAACGAATGCGTAGCCCTCGGGTCAAATAATACATACGCAGCATGATCACATAGAGAAATCGTACCTGTGACCACGCCCGACGTGTCCTCCGCCTCTCTTCGCGCCATCGGATAAACTTGTCCTTGCGCAGGCGGTCGTCGTTGATTAGCCGGTGGGGGATTTCCGGCTTGGTTCCCTACTCGGGGCTATTGCGGTTGCATCTGAAGTCCTGAAGGGCGCTGCTAGGGACAATTCCGGATCTGGTGCTCCAAACTCCCACATTTAAAATAAGCTCCAAATCGATTCGGTTGGTGGCTCGGCTTCCCAATGTTCTTTCTAGCCGGTGGGACGAATCGCCTGTTTCCCGCCATCGGCTTCTTCTTGAAACGGCGGTTGTCCCTATTCTGAGCGAACCGCGACCCAGAAGCGGTTGCCCTTTCTAACTGATCTCGCTCTATAGCTTGAGCTCGTTCATACATTTCCCCGTAATCTCTAATGTTCAACGAAATCATTTGGCTTCGAAGATCTGGCTTCAGTCCGTCCCTAAATCTCCGAACCTTATCCTGTGGATTTTCCACCATCCTAGGTGCAAACTTGGACAGTCTAGCGAACTCCGCTTCATATTGATCCACAGTCATCTGCCTTGGAGGAGCCTCATGAATTCCGTCAGTTTTCTTTCTTGTGCACTCTCCGAAAAATACTTTCCATAAAAACTCTCGGTAAACGCAGCCAAGTCTGGGCGATACCTTCCGAAAACACTCTATCTCTAGTGGCCTTCCACCAATCATTCGCGTTATCCTGCAACTGATATATCGCCAGGGTCACTTTCTCAGTCTCGGTGCACCCTAATACATCAAAGGCCTTCTCTAACTCCTCTACCCAACGCGGTGTAGCCTCGGGGTCATCCCTACCATTAAACTTAGGCGATTTCAACTTCAGGAACTGCTCCACTAATTGATGCATTTGTCTATTTACCGCCATCTGAGCCTGCCGTTGATTGGCATTGTTTCCATTCACAGCAGCAGTTGCTGCAGCCTCAGTAGCCTGGGCAATGGTGGCGGCCCTTTCCTGAGCTTGCCTGCCCATAATATTTCCTATTTCATGTAGGGTCTGAATAACCTCCTCCATTCTTGGATCTCTAGCCTCTTGGCCCATAGCACTCGGCTACCCTTGGGTTTCCTTTCCTCTTCTTCTCATCTTTACTGACCTCACTACCCGCCTACCTGCTATAATTCCACTCAGGAATTAGAGACCTAAACCAAGCTAAACCGGTCTAAGGTCCTAGGCAGGGAACTAACACAACAACAATCAATCACTCAGCATGCGGCTAAGCACCAACAGCACAAGACTTCAATCCAAGGAGATACACGTACTTACCTCAGGTCCTGTCGCACCTGCACTTTACGGGTCAATTCATATAGGCACTCAATCAAAACACAGACAGTCAGGAGGTACACGTAGCACACAGGGTCTCCCTATTGGCTACCCAAGGTCATCGTTCCTTATTACTCCAGGCTTCGACCAAATTGGACCGAGCTGACCTTGCTCTGATACCAAATCAACGGGGGATGTCACGCCCCGAACCCTACGGCGCGCGACCATCCCAACCGTGGTCGATATTGTTGTGCAACGTCCCAGGACGCGTCGCCGACCCAATACCCAACGCAGAGATTAAAGCATACGCGGAAGCAACATAAACACTCGTACAATTTAAAACACGAGACCAAGGATAGCACAACCAACAAACAACATTATAAATATATACATTGCATTAACAACAGGAAAACATATACAATATCCATTTACAATAAGGTACAATACATCAAAAGCGGGTCAACGGCCACCACTGATAAAAATGGGTAGGTGGCCTGGGCGGTCAGTCTAAGCACTAATCTAAGGAAGGGCTCCGGTCAAAAAGGTACTAGCCCGACCTAACTGAGGCTAAGGCTAACCCTACAGAACCCAGTTCGGATCGGATCCCGAGGACTCGGAAGAACTGTCAGACAGCTCGACCTCGGAGTCTAGGGAATCCAGCTCGGACTCGGCCTCTGCCGGCTCCTCCTCAGAATCCATCTCCTCAGGCTCGCCCTCCTGCTCGGGGTACTGCTCTATAGGCTCTGGCTCCTCATTCGACTCCATCGGCTCCGGGTCAGAGTCCCAATCCACCGGCTCCTCGTCCATCGGGTCCGGCTCATCCACTTCCCAGACGACAAGTCCGGCGCCAGAACTCGAACTCCCCTCGGCTGTAGCTTCGGGGCTCGCCAGGCCTCCGTCGGCACATTGCGGATCCATTTTGTCTAGCCCGTTGAACGGGACATCAAAAGTCCGAAGAGGTCCAAACTCCCCGGAGTCGTCCCTAAAGCACCAAGCTACGTACTCGTGGGTCTCGTAATATGTTTCCCCCACATCAACCCATACTATAGTATAATGCCTAATATACGTATCCCCGTTCCCTACGGGGTACTCGGTCACCGCTCTCTCTATCTGATGCGAGATCCCAAAACGTACCGGAACCCCGGACATCCTCAGGGCCGGGGGTCTGAAATGGTGGGTTTTAACAACCATGAGAACGAATCTCAGTGAGTAAAACCCCCTAAACCTAAACTAGGCTAACATGCACCTCCTGACAGGCAAACAAAGCACATATAACCAGTAACATTTGACAATCAATTGACCTAGACCCTCGGGTCCAGATCGAGCACACAATTGACCCTGCAGGTTAGACAGTTCATAATAATACTCATGGCACATATGCGATCACACTTAATCATACGTACGTCATACACTTGCTCATACTCATTAGTGCCTGCCTTACATGCGAGTCACCGGTACGCATATGCCCGCACACTTGCCCATGCACTCTCGTACACTGCTCATTTTCTTAATTAGAATTCGACCCGCGTAAAACGCATCAGGTCTATCAATCAATACCAACACTTCATGGCCAGCATAAAACGCATCAAGCCTGGTGTCTCTAGCCCGCGTAAAACGCATCAGGCGCAACACCGATCTCTATATACGGACCAAAACCCACGTAAAACGCATCAGGCTGGCCGTCTTCCGGTAGAACCGGGCATCGTCTCGCGTAAAACGCATCAGGACTTATAATGATCACACGTGCACACAACCAATTTTATCCAAACCCCGCGTAAAACGCATCAAGGCAATTAGGGTGATCACATGCTCATGTCAGGCACGCGTACTGGCACAAATCTCGATTCAAGCCAATGCTCAGCATGCGAAATACGTGGCCATGCAATCCGACATTCGGGTAACAACACCATGCACAATGAGCACTCAATTTCACTTAGGCAATTTATGCCAATTCACGTGCAACTCAACATACTTAAGTCACATCGAGACGAACTCAATTACACTTAACACGCCCAATGGATTACTCTATTCAAATCAGCCACGACATGCCCAAATTAAGCAATTCAATGCAATCTAGCATGGCACAATATCGGCACTCACATTTCACATACTTAATCAATGGGATTCACGTTCATTATTGGCCAATCACACATTGTGTCATTCGGCCACATAGATCACACGGCATGGCATAATCACATTGACTACAGTCAAGCACAATTAACCACCACATCAACCAAACAAGGCACGTTCGGGAATTTCCATACTTAAACCTTAACTACCCGAACTTGGGCCAATTAAACACAACATGGCAGCCACCAATTCTGATCAAATTAGGCTATAATCAACTTCAAATTACTCCATTAAGCTCCCTAATTAATCACCAAATCAGCCACCAATCAACATGCCACTAATCAACCTTAAAATACCTTAATTAACCCTTAATTAACCATAATCCTATCTAGAAATGCTTAATTAGCTTAATTAGGGTTTAGGGACGAATACTCACTTAGGCTCTTAAGCTCCAACTAGCTGATCGGGAGAGAAAAACAGGCCGGCTGAGTTGGTTTTACGGCGGCCTAGCGATGGCGATGAGTAGTGGCTTCCGCGGCGGCGTGCGGTGACCGGCGGTCCAAGGCGATCTTCACATGGCCGAAGGGGAAGGAGAGCTGGTTGGCGGCTGGGGGAGGAGAGAATGGGCTGGTCTGGTGGTGGTGATGGCTCACGCGGACGGCGGCGGCGATCGGCCTTGGCGAGGGGCGCGGCCAAGGGGAGCTGATCCAGCGATGTTCCTCACGGCCGAGCAAGGAAATGAGAGGGAGGGAGAATGGCGTGGAGGAGGAGGGTGAGTGGCCGGTGGTGAGGTGAGAAATGAGGGAGAGACAAAGATAATTATTAGTCTTAGGGGGGGTTTGACCAACTTTCCAATTTGCCCATCTTACCCTTCACTCACTTGGTTGCGATAATCCAAAGCCAAAATATCCAAGGGCATATTAAATCCAAATTTTCTAAATTATTGGGACTGATCTTATCCAATTAAATCCCCAAAATGACCTCCCATAATCTCCCAAAATTCGGAATACAAGGCATAGTCTTAGGGGCAAAATCGTAATTTTCTGATTCCGGGCCGAATTTCCATTTTTCGACCGTACTGATCCCAAATATAGTTGGCCACACTAAAATGACGTCATCCTCGCAAAATAATAGTGTACGTCCACGAAATTCGACGTCCAAGTCCGGATCCAACTTCGCGATCAAAATTGCTCAATTACAATTTTAGGGTCTCTCACTAACGGGAGGCTGTTCAGCGGTTACGCGTATTGACCTAGGGTTACTCGGGTCGTGACGGTCTCGATTACCGGGAAAACGCGAGGATTTATCGCTAGTTCCGGAGGTCGTGATCGTTTGGATTAAGTTCAGGATTTGTTCGCCACGCGTACTCTCGGTCGTGCGGAATCACCCGCGATCCGATCGCACGTCGTTGGCCAAACTAAGTCCGTCACCTTCCTAGGATTGGCTTTTATTGGCCCAAAATATTTCCTCGTCGTTTCTCGGAATCGGTGCCCGATTCACGATCGGGTCCCTGGTCCACGCACCATTTTCCTAATTAGCCATTCCCTTTTGGTTTGTATCCCGAGAATGATCAGTTCCAGGCGAGATTCACTAAAATTAAATGAGAAACAATATCTATTTCATTGATCCCGGGATTGGGTCGAAATTCAAGACGTTACATCTAGTTTCCCCATTGAGCCTAATTATGCAAAAAGATTTATCAATAGTCACCATGGATTGCGAATCAATTTTAATGCCTCCATTTCAATCATATGTTCTTTTAAGGTGAAAAGGAGGTAAAGTACACTTGCATGCCTCAAAAGTAATGCAAATGTCATTTTAAGTCCATTCAAACCTTAAAAGAGTATATAGTTGAGATTACGGACAAATTCAATGTGTGATGTAGATGCCCATTTTGTCACACTCCATTTAAACTATAAAGTCTTAAACTATGGTTTGCAACTTCAAACACATTGAAATAAGCATTTGAATTACATGAGAAATCCGCCATGGACCTATACATTTCATCTAAAAATGAAAGAATGATCAAATGGAGTATGATGCCCTAATCATGCATTCTAAAATGAAAAGGCATTTAGACCAAGCATTGTATGTCATTTAAGCATTTTAAAGAATGTGTCAACTAGCATTGCACAATTGTAAAAGAATGGAATGGAACGATATTTGCTTACCATGATATTTTGGTTTGGTTTTAGGTATACCAACCACAAAGACATGCGAATGCAACCAGTGAAGTTTTGACGCCTAAAAAAAGGGTAGGATATACTAAAGGCTCAAGGTCGTCACCTTAATGGACAAGGGATTCCATTCCAATAGGCAATCGGCCTAAAGTTATGGAATATTATTCCACCTTGGTGATCGGCATTGTATTTAAATGATCCCATGAACAATCGGCCCATAGTGTCGCCTAAACACATACCTCCTAAGGGTAATCCTAAATGTAACCGGGGTTGGGCCACGGGTGGTATGTGTTAATGGTGTAGTGCTAAAGCAATTTAAAAACATGCATAATAATTAATGACCAAACAACACTTCTAAAATTCATTCAAAACACATTCAATCCCAACACCAACCTGCAAAACAAGGGTTAACAAAGACAACACCCCTTATAACACCCGTATCCAAAACCATTTAACACTATCATTAGCGAGACGTACCTGGGATCCTTGCGAACACAAAACACAAGCATATCGTTCTATTTAGGCCTAAGT